GTTATTACATGGTCAGTGTTACAGGTCAATAACACTCCCTGGTCAATAGCGGTCCATAGTCAGTGTTTCCTCCATGGTCAGTATTTCCTGCATAGTCAGTGTTATTACACAATCAGTGTTACTCAAAGGTCAATAATACTCCATGGTAAATTACCCTCCATGGTCAGTGTTATTCTATCATAGGTCACACCACACCAGGTTATAGTCCAACAGGTTCATTTGAAATCACAAGCTTTTGGAGTGCTGCTTCACCTGATGATTTCAAATGAGCCTGTTGGATTATAACCTGGTGTTGTGTGACTTATGGCTTTGTCCACCTCAGTGCAACGCCGGCACCTCCATTTCAGTGTTACTGTGTGGTGAATGACACTCCATGGTCAGTGTTGATCCATAATGTGCAGGCGCCAGTGTTGGACTGGGGTGGACAAGGTCACAAGTCACGTGACACCAGGTTATGGTCCAATAGGTTTATTTGAAATCACAAGCTTTGGGGGGGCGCTACCCCTTTGTCAGGTGTCGTGTGACTCCTGACAGTGTTACTGCATGCTCAATGACCCTCCAACCACAGGAGCCAATGTGACTGCAGTGCCAGTGTGCGGGAAAACTCCAACTCCCAGAATGCACTTGGAAGTCTGCGCACGCGCAGTACGGTATGACTTTCCGGTTGGCTGGAGTCTCTCACAAGGTGCAGGGCTGGATGAACACAGCAGGCCAAGCAGCATCATAGGAGCAGAGAGGCTGACGTTTCGGGCCTAGACCCTTCATCAGAAAAGGGGGAGGGGAAAGGGGTTTTGAAATAAATAGGGAGAGAGTGGGAGGTGGATAGAAGAGGGATAGAGGAGAGGATAGGTGAAGAGGAAACAAACAGGTCGAAGAGGCGGGGATGGGGCCAGGAAAGGTGAGTGTAGGTAGGGAGTTAGGAAGGGGATAGGTCAGTCCAGGGAGGACGGACAGGTCAAGGGGGCGGGATGAGGTTAGTAGGTAGGAGATGGAGGTGCGGCTTGAGGTGGGAGGAGGGGATAGGTGGGAGGAAGAACAGGTTAGGGAGGCAGGGACGAGCTGGACTGGTTTTGGGATGCGGTGGGGGGAGGGGAGACTTTGAAACTTGTGAAATCCTGGAGTCTCTCCACGTGCGGCCGCTGATTGGATGGCGGCCCAGTGGGCGTGGCCGTTGTGGAGGGCGGTTTAAAAGCCGGGACTGGCGCTGGTTCCGGGAGCAGTCCCGTTGCGGAGGTAAGAACCGGGGAAGGAAGCTGGGCTCGGGTTAAACGGTCAGAACAGATAGGGGACTGCATGACACGTTGGACGTGAGTGAATGCAACACTAATACAGTGGGTCAAATGGTCTATTTTTGCTGAATGCTGAGCCTCCTCCTTCCACCTCCGCAACAGCCACTTGCTGGAGGTACCAGGGAGAAATGGTGAAATGCAACACTCTACTTCAGAAGCATGTTATTTTTATTAATATAAACGTCCTAGGTAACTTTTGCATGTCTCAACCTTTTATAATGACCTTCTTACCTATCCTATCCCAATGTTGCCACAGTAATCATTCAATAAATATTATTCTTTCTCAGGGAAGTTTCATACCAATTGGAAAGATGGGTGACTGGAAAGTCACGTCTATAGTTGAAGCTGGAAATCCCCCAGGTGAGTTTTTTTGTCCAATCCATGGTGTGTAAAAAGACTTACATTTGTATAACCTCAGTTTCCCAAAGCGTTTCACAGCTAATGGAAGACTTCCAGATCTGTGTTTGTTTTTGTTATAATGTGGGGAACACTGCAGCTAATTAATGTACAGCAACTTTCCACAATTAGTCACTGATCTACCTGTTGTCTGTGAGTTTCCACTTCTACTCTTTAGAGCAGTGTTCACACTGAAGATACTAGTATCCCTGGTTAGTAGAGGTGACAGACTGGAAAAAGATCAATCAGGATTTGAGCATTGGTTGGCAAAACTTGCCCAAAAATAA